GCGAACCATCATACACGTGCTCTTGTTGGTCGAGAATTCCATGTTCCATGTGCGGCACCTTTGGTAGAGTCTGAGGAGATCATGTATTAACGCAATAATGTGATCTGGTTCGTGTGTTTTGAACACAAACTATTTTTATATCATCTGCGAATAAGAAAGGTGTGCCATGGTGGACTATAGGGAAGATATTAATAATGTGCATGAGGGATAGAAGTGGTCCCAGAACACTGCTTTGCACTGGTCCACTAGTAACAGGGGTAGGTAAGGAAAGTAGCCATCGACACACACTGACTGGGTGCGATTAGATAGGTAGGAGGAAGACCAATCCAGGATGGTGGGTTTGATGCCGAAAGTTTGAAGTTTTGGCGACAAGCCGCATATGGGAGACACGATCAAACGCGATAGTCATATCAATAAACATTTTCACTAGGGATTTTCCATTATCCCCTGCTTTAGTGACTAAATTGAGGAAATCAAGTTGACAGATGTTGCACGATCGGTTTTGCAGGAAACCATGTTGACCATCGTGGGGAAGGTTGCTTGAGAGAAGGTAACTACTTATATGTTTTCTGACCAGGCGCTCAAATAGTCTCGATGCAATGGGAGTATGATTATTGGGGCGGTAGTTAGAAGGGTTCTGTAGGGGGCTCTTTTGTGTTGCGGGATTATGGTCAAAATTTTTCATTGACTGGAAAATTCGCCATATTTCAGTTAGAGGTTAAACATGTTTGTTAGCAGAAGTGGAATGTTCGGCCCTCCACATTGTAGCAGTGCAGGATTAATTTCCTCCCTACCAAAACGTGTAGGTTTAATGCAAGAAGGGGTTTGATCAGCTCATGAAGCAGCAGTTCAATATGAGATAGCGTAAGCGTGGGTGAACAAACAGGAGAAGCGGAGACATACGGTGTATCTATGATCATGAAGGAGCTAAATAAAGTATCAAAGGCATCTGCAATAGATTTAAGTGAATTGGCAACTTAGTTATGTTGCAATTTTAAGTAACATACTGGGATGAGAGTGCGCATTTCGGAATCGTGACAAACGCCACATAAGTGCATGCTTATTTGGTTTAGATAAAGCAGCAGTTTCCTTTCTTTTATGTAATTGGTTAGTAAGTTAGCGGATTTTATCGGGTATTTAATATAAATAAATAAAAGGGGAAAAGTCATGAGGATTTGGGATTTGGAAGATTGAGCTTTTGCGTATTTGTTCTGCAGGCGAGCTGAACATTGAGGTCGGTTATACAATGGACGGGTACGGTAGGAGAGAATGGATGTCAAGTAATGTATAAAGTTGGAGCAAAATACGTTTGCTGATTGCTGAGGGTCAGATGTAAGGAAAAATTCATCCCAGTCACTAGCGCGCCGGATAGCCAGAAAGAGATCCCAAGAGAAGTACGGTTGAGCAGGATTAGGAGGAGAGTGCTACTTATGGTTGACGGAGCAAAAATGTACATAAAGCTATTCTATGATCGTTACCAGGGAAACAAACAAGTGTAGGAGTATCGACATTTCATAGATTTGGAGTGAAAACCAAATCAAGTATGTTGTTTTTCCTGGTAGAGGATGTAATGTGCTGAGTCCAGTAACCTGTGCGAATACATGAGATGATATCAATAAGGTAAGAAGGAGAGCTAAGGGTATTCCAGTCAATATTGGGTGCAGTGAAGTCACCAGCCATTAGTTAAGAACACCTGGGCAATGGAGCTAGGTAGTTGAAAGCGTCAATAATGTGCAGAAAGTCTGATGCAGCAGTACCGGGAGGTCTGTATGGACA